TTTCATTGCATATACAGTCTTAATAAAATTAGAATTGTACATATGTTTACACTATAAGTTTTTCCCAATGGACTCAACACAAATAAATATAACCTATAAGTTAATGCTCTTAATGGCAAATAAACCAGGATTATTTTGAAGGGAAAATGTTTGTAAAGAAATTTTTCTGTGTTCAGACAAGAATATCCATATTTCACGTACAATTAACAGGTACAAGAAAGTGAGAACCTACCCAAGGGGTACTTAGGAACTTTATATTATTACAGAAAGTAAGTACTGCATCGATGTTTTATGCAGTGTTTTATGCAAAATGACTTATGTTTTTTAAGCTGGTTTGCTAGCAAAATCCAGTTTTGTTTTAAAGGAAATAGTTTTTAATTTATAAGTCTAATGTAATTGAAAATGCTCAGCACCAGGGAGACTTACCAGTCATCTTAAAAATTCAGATAGAAACATGATTCTAAGTCTAGTCAGTGATGATAACCTGGCATATTTTTCGATACAACACTGCTTTTATTGAATTTAATGGTGTAACTCCCATTAGTTTTGATAGAGTAGAACCAGATCCCATGGGAATTTTATAGCTGGATATTTTTTACATCTGTTAATTTTGTGATCAGATACACAGCACTGTTCTTTGACAGGCTGCACAAATGTTTGTACACTGTCCATCAAGCAGATTATAAATAAGAGGAATTAATAATAATTAGGAATAGTTAGATTTATCCTAGTTTTGTGTAATTCTATTTAATTATGTAATTTTCCAATTCACCAAGTGCTACTCTTACAGCCTTTTCTGAAAATAAGTCATTTTCAAGCACTGGTTAAAAAAAAATCCACATGTACAGTGCATTACAAAACCTTTCTAGTGTTCTTTAAGGTCCGTCATGTTAACAACAAACAAACAAACAAACCCCATAACTATAAGCTGCTACTTAGGAGATAGATGCCCTGAGTTCCTGTGACAGGAAGGAATTGTCTAGGTACAACTCCCAGCTGATCTTAGGAAGAAGACCATGTCCCACACCTCAAAGGAAGACAAAAAAAGTCCTAAGTGTCTCACTGACAAACTGACCAAGCAAAAGCTCTTTGTGACTCCAAACCTGGTGATCTAATTTGTAGAACAAGAAGACAGTGGTGAGACTGCATCTGGAATATTGTGTCCAGTTCTGGGACCCTCAGTTCAAGAGGGACAGGGAACTGCTGGAGAGAGTCCAGCGCAGAGCCACAAAGATGATGAAGGGAATGGAGCATCTCCCTTATGAGGAAAGGCTGAGGGAGCTGGGTCTCTTTAGCCTGGAAAAGAGGAGCCTGAGGGGTGACCTAATCAATGTTTATAAATATGTAAAGGGTGAGTGTCAGGAGGATGGAGCCAGGCTCTTCTCTGTGACATCCAGTGATAGGACAAGGGGCAATGGGTTCAAGCTGGAACATAGGAGGTTCCACTTGAATATGAGAAAAAACTTCTTCACGCTGAGGGTGACAGAGCACTGGAACAGGCTGCCCAGAGAGGTTGTGGAGTCTCCTTCTCTGGAGACATTCAAAGCCCGCCTGGATGCGTTCCTGTGTGATCTGATCTAGGTGTTCCTGCTCCGGCAGGGGGATTGGACTAGATGATCTTTTGAGGTCCCTTCCAATCTCTAACATTCTGTGATTCTGTGATTCTGTGACAGCACCCTGACCTGGGAGAGACCAGTGCTACCAGGAGCACCAAGCCACATTGTTCAGCACGCTGTCTATACGCCTTCTGGAGGAGGTGAAGAATGAAATGCACCCAGAAGCCAAGTTATTCAGGGAAGAAAAAAAAAAACCAAAAACCAAACAAACAAACAAAAAAACCCAAACAAACCAAAAAACCACCCTGGTTCTGCTACATGACCAGCAGAAGTACTAAAGCATAGGATTTAAATGGTTTAAAAACAGTGCAGAAAAAACTAGCAGTCCAGTCTTCTTTCAGAGTCCCCTGGAGATTTGAGCGTCTCTCATATGTAAGGATTCCTATCGCAAGTTTAAATTCCATTCTTCTGATTTTTCACATTTTGTATAACATGGCAATGCTCTTCTAGGCTTATTAAGCACCATAAAACAATGCAGTTTTTTTGTCTTCTTAGGTTGAAACTTTTCAGGTAGACAGAATATTTTCCAACTTCTAGCCTTAACATATTGTGACCTACTGGCAGACATTTCTACTTGTATGAATGCTATTCTTAAATTTAAACGATCTTCTTTGAGATGTACATTACTTCATATGATAGATGTCCTGTTCTCTTGGTCACCATAATAGCTGTTGGCATATAGCGGCCCTGAATCAAGTCAATTAAATCTGGTCATAAATAGTTTGTAATTATACATTTTTTGGGATCAGGCATCCCGAGGCCTGATCTTGTCTATATTTATAACTCAAATTTCTAGCATATAGAACAGTCTGGGGTTTTTTGCTATTATGAATGAGGTGTTTCCCTGCCTGAAGCACAGATATGCACTTTTCCTATTTCGCTTGGCTGATGATTGCTTATCTGATACAAATATTATACATTTTAAGGTGAAATTAACAGTGATATACAACTGTAGCCAGTCAAATGGCTTGAAGTATGTTTACATAAAAACCTGAACATATTTTATTTTTTCTATTGAAATATAACTTGATAGAATTGAATTCATAAACAATACCTATGTTTTGTTATATCTCTAATTTAAAAAGCCTTTCCAAAAATCATGAGCACAACCTTGTTCAATCATACTGTTCTAAATCTGAATTAATCTCAGGAAAGGTGAATTAATACAGTGAGATACCTTTGTTTTAAATTTCTGCATGCTATGAGCTTACATATGTGCGTTCTGTACAATTGGTTATATCTCCTACTGTGATGTTGTGGGGAAATGTGATATCACCATATATAAAGAAAAATAAAGATATAAACAGATACTTGATACACAGAATATTTATCGCGTACATCTTTTTTCTTTCCTTACAGCTAAAAGCATTGGCTATGACAGCATATGATGCATAATACTGAGTAAAAGGGGACAGGAACAGCTTTGCATCTCAAAGGCAAGTGCTATGTCATGGCTTGCTTCCATACAGGAGATGTTTTCTTGGGCTGAAAGGCTTGATTGCTGAAATGAAACTTGGAAGAGGTCCTTGATCCATGCTAACCTAATTGTACTGAAGCTTTGTGCTTGGGCTAGTGCTAGTTGGCCTAACCCAAAATAATGCCAGGAACCATGCTGATGACTTAGTGGTATGGATGATCACTCGCTAGTTCTCAGGCCTGTGCCCATGCCCTGGCCAGTTTACTGCTATGGTCATAGTAGAAGGCTTGGTCCAATCCCACTACATCAACAAAGTCAAAGTGGTTTCTCCAGTGAGAGCTAGACTTGGCCTTAGGAAGATAATTTTATTAACATTCAGAAAATTACAACATAAGCAAAAATAACTCCAAAGAAAAACAAAAAATAGAAACTTGAAAATGAAACATATGCTTGCAGATTCAGTGCAAAAGCAAACTGAAGCAGAAGTTGCTAATATGGTTTTAGTACTTTGCGAAGATGCCAGCTGGATGGATGATAATTTTTCTACCCCTGCAGGGCATCAAAGCTTTTATAAAATCATTCTTTTCACACATATTAGCACTTAGCTTATTAAAACAGATGATACTTTTTTTTGTAAAGCTGCCTGTGAGTGTCTGGAAATATAAAATCTGAGAGATAAGTCTCATTTTGACCACCTAGTCTAACAAACAACAAACACTGACATGACATACCATGGCTGAGAGTCTATGTTATGGGACCTTCTGTGACTGCCACAACTGCAGTGTCACAGTAAAGGCTGTGAATTGCTGTTATGAAAACATTTGCTGTAACTTGCATAATTAAATGAAACCGCCAGCAAAGCTTTCTGAAATACTTAGGAGATGACACACAAACAAATACATTTAAAAGTGTGTATTACGTTTCAGAATTTGTTTTGTAATGAATTGCATTGCACAGTGTCAGATTACTTCATTCTTGTTCGAATTCCTACATAAGTGTCTGACATAATTGTCATGTAAATTGATCCAAGTTTATAGTAAAATAATTTTTATTCAAATTATGTGCAGGCCTTTGTGTAGTGCTTTTGAATTTATACAAAAGATACAAATTCACCTGCCTACAGCTTCTCCTTCAGGCAACTCAGAAAGGGTGGCCAGAGCTTGAATGTGGAGAAATATGCCCAAGAGTGTTGCTAGTGACCTTATAGGAGAGCCTTGCATAAGGAAAATTTTGGTAGAGTAGGTGATAGCTCCTAACAAAAAGAGGAAGAATCAGGGCAAAGGAATGAGCAGAGGGAGGCTGAAGAAGCCAGTACAGAAGCTGAGGGAAATTATTGTGAAGATACAGGCTGGCTAACAATGTGCGGGCCTTGAGGATGAACAAGAAAATTATTCTGAACTTTTAGAAGTGCGATCAAAGTTTTGAAAACAAATTTGACAATTCAATACATATTTGGTAAACTTTAAGATCTTACAAGGCTTAAACTGAAAATACCACAAAACAAAATTCTAAAAGTCACTTCATGAAAAGTACCAGTCAAGCCCGCAGATGTACCAGGCATAACTGGCTTCCTTCTGTATACAAGCAGGCAGTGATATGTACAAGTTGTTTATTTAGGGAAATTAACTCTGCACTGGAGTCCGCAAACCACATCAACCTAAATCTCTCCATTAACATATTCAAAATCAAAAGATGGAATAAAATTGCACTACTCACAGTGGAGAAATTACTATTTCAAATAATCTTCTACCAATTTTACTTATGACTTCTAAGCACTTAAAATTTTCATGCAGAAACTGTTTAAAGAAAGGCCACCCTTGACAGCTGAAGATGATAAATAAAAAGCAAAAGCAAAAATTTTCAGCTGGTAAGAACATCAGAACAGATTGCTGAATATCACCAAAATGCAGCTTATCCCTTCTGATGTAGTAGTAATATGAACAAGCTTTGCAAGGCTAGTTACTTACATCAAACAACTTCTCTATGTACATTTCCTCATTGACCTTTTCTCGAAGTATATCCTGGTTTTGTCGAACAAACATAATGTAGGTATCTGCCAGATCCATACCTGGTTTCTGTGGAGACATAAAGTAAGGGGAGAAAGTAATGAGAAGGGAAAGCGAAA